TCTCTCTCTCTCTCTCTCTCCTACTTTCTTTTGCTGTATGTATCCCCCTCTCTCTGTTTCCCTCTTCCTTCTTCTTCTCTCTCCCTCTCCCTCTCCGCCTGGTCATAGAAGATAATTAAATTGTTTCAGAGCTTGTTTTCTCTGTATGCACTTTTGTTTTTATTTGAAGGTCTTTTAAAGTTATTAATGGCTTGTCTATTTATTTTGTTTAGCCGACTTCAGGCATTAATCATCATCGGCCCAGCTGAATTTCTTACAGTCAAGTCTCTTTTCTAGGGAATTGGTCGTTGGAAAAGCTTGTGTTAGAGTGAGCCATCTAAATTGATATGCAGTTGTAGCATTGTAATGTTCTTTGACCTTTTGAGCTGAAGTTACAAAATTGTGAATCCCTATCAACGTTCACAATTTTCTGTCACTTTTTTTCTCTACTTTTGACTTGCTTTTTTTTTTCTCGAACGTAATGTAGCTTATTTAGTAAAATTTGATTTTTTGGTTCTGTTTTTAGTAAACCATGATGAAGTGGTCAAGATCGTGGAGCTGGCCTGTAAGCACAATGTGGTCATCATCCCCTTTGGAGGTAAGATGGGGGGGGGGGTGTTAATGCATCTGCCGATGACAGGAATTTCAAGGGGAGGGCAGATTTTTTTCCCTTAATTAATTAACCAAACCATATCGTTTTCTTGGAAACATGTAGGCTTTATGTTTGTACAGAGTCTATCCCATTGTGACTTTACTTTTTACAGCAAAAAGTGGCTATTTGTTGAAAATTCTGTTTGCACACAGCATTTTGTCATTTGACTCGAGGTACTCTTTATTACTTTTTTTTAATGAAAAAAAAAGATTTTAAAAAACCCAAAACATCCTCTTTTACTTACCTATGAAAATGAGGGTTCAGCATTAAGGTGTTGAGAAATGTCATATTTCGCCTCTGTATAAAAAATGGAAAGCACTCTTCCCAGTAACACTGGGGATAGGCCCAGAAACTATTCCCAGTGTCACTGGGAATAGGCCTAGAAACCATTGGCAATAGGGCCTACGGCAGAATTGTTCCCAGTGTCACTGGGAATAGGCCCAGAAACTATTCCCAGTGACACTGAGAACAGACAGGCCCATTAGATCTATTGTTGCCACTCTGATCTACACGGGCATGATGATGATTGGTAACTAAATACTAGACTATATCTAATCTAGATCTAGATTCTAGATCTAACTAAACTAAAGTAGATTCTGGTGTGAGTGGAAGAATTCTTTTTTAAGAAAAAGGAATGATCATTCTATGCTTGCTTGTTATTCAGTCGTAATTTAACGTTTGTGTAGATCTAGATCTACCTACGGATTTTGGAGACCACGGTACAGGACAGGTAGAAATCCTTCCCCATTCTTCTTTCTTCAAGATCTAGATTTAGGTCTATTTTACAGTCAAGTCTAAGCCCTTAGAGAAGAGAACAGAAGTAGACTGAACTGAAGTGACAAAAGAGTCTACAATGCGACGGCTTCTGATTTTTTTATGCAAAAGAGTTCCGTTGTCACTGGGAATAGTTTCTGTACCCATCCCCTGTGTCACTGGGAATAGTTTCTGTACCCATCCCCTGTGTCACTGGGAATAGTCACTTCGATAAAAAAAATATGAACAGACAGAAGAAGCATTAATTCTTGCATCAAAATAAAGACCTCATGGCCATGTTGAGATATTGCCTTGAATCTTCCTGAATTGTTGCAGCGCGATGGGTTCTTGATTACTGCGAGATATGTTTTGTGTTGTGCGAGTCATTGTAAACTGAAGTTTAAGTGGAATATATGAACTGTACTTTGGCTTATGCTGTCTTGTCAGGTGGGACCAGTGTGACAAATGCTCTTGAGTGTCCGGAAGACGAGAGGAGAATGATTGTTTCTTTGGATACCTCACAGATGGTAAGGACATATAGTGATTTCAATGTGTTTGGCCATGTTGTGCCCTCAAGTTTGATGAACCTCCCCATTCAGGCAGACAAAAATTCCTTTTCCACTGGCATTCTTATCTGTAAAGATCAAAATGTATTCAGCTTTTGATGGGGATTGATGCTGAATTTTGCTAGAGTAACTGACCTTAACAGGTCTACTCCTTTGTGATCTTCAATTGTCAAGGTATCTGTCTGTTGATTAAAGATGTTATTAAACCCTAAAATCTTTTTGTTCTGGAACCATATCTACTTTGACATCAAGATAAGCTCTGCGATTTCATCGTCAGGCTAACAAGCTCTCTGTTATCATTATCCTTCAGACTTTCAGGACCAGATATCAAACTATGTACTTTGATATACGTGTGGAGGCCTGGGAAAACTACCTCTTGATCCGTAAGCCTCCCAAACTTTTTATTCTTCTTACAGAATCGCATCCTGTGGATTGATGAGAAAAACATGACAATGCGAGCAGAGTGTGGCATCATTGGCCAGGACCTGGAGAGACAGGTGGGCATACATGTTTGTCTTTCTTCTTTCCTAAGATAGTAGCTCTTAATTAGACCCAATGGGAAGGTTTAGAAGGCTGGGCTGCGTGGTTAGGCTAAAGAATGAATGAAGATGGTTACATCAAGATGAATCTGACATATCAATGGCGTTTGTCCTCTAATGATGTAACCGGTTTCTTGAAAGATTAAAAAAAAACCCAACATGTTTTAGATAAAGAGAGCAGAAACAAAGTGATCACACAGTAATTTGTACTATTTATAGCGCATGCTGACTCCTGATTTTTACTGAGGACTAGCAGACTGGCATTGGCAATGGGTTTCAAATTTTATAAAAAGGTTTCAGTAACATGGTTAGGGCACCACACCATTTATATCTGTGTTTGAGTATAATTACTCAAGTGTGCCATTTCAGTGTGAAAGAGGTGACTCCTTCCAGCCTTTTAAAGTGCCTGTTGGTTAATCTCAGGGCATTAAACTTGAACAAATACAAAATCCCTGTTGCTGTTGATATGAAAAGTCGGTGTCAGTAAATCAAAAGTCCACTCCACTATTTATGCCTTGGTCATCTCAAGTATTTCTCTGTCTGTTTTGTTTTTACAACGAACAAACTACACAACAGCTGTGCCATTTGCTTATTCAGGTGGGTACAGCAGGTTGACATTTATTTATCCTTAATGCTGTGGATGTGAAAGACACACAAGACACAGGAGGCTATCAGATGCCCACCCTGGTTTCAGCGTGTTGGTCATTTCCATATATTATCCATAAATCTTCATCTTGTTTCATTAATTACAAATGTCAATAGATGATACCAGTGCTGTGAGGTGGCTTGTGTGTGTGTATGTGTTTATTTCTTGCATGTTGGGTTATTTGTGTGTGGATGTGTGCAAGAGGTGAGTGGAAGAAGGTGAGAGAAAGGTCATATCTGTCCTTGTTATTTCCCAGTTTTGAAAAGCTGCGTAGATAGAAATACAATGGTGTCATGGAGGACTGAGAATTCTTCTCCCAACGGAGTTCCTTATATTAGAATAAGATTCGTACCTTACAGCATAATAGCTTGTAAAATGCTTTCATTAGAATGTGTATGTGGTCACAGTGCATAATAGGAAATGCAAATTACTTGTCAGGGATTGTGTAACCTCTCTCTGTGCCATGTTTGTGTCTTGTTGGGTTGGAGTTGCAGGCTTAACCCTAACAGGTAGTGCTGACACTGGACTTTGTGTGGAATTTATTTTCTCTCCTCTGAAATTGGATACGCTTATGAAAGTCGAACATTACAAAGCCTGTCAATATGAATGGGGGGGGGGGAGATTGGAGTGGTAGCAGGTGGATATTGTTGAATGTTTGCTACTTGTGTCATGCTGAACCTCAAGGTTCTTTATCTGTACTGACCATGCTTGTGTTTGATTGACAAAGTCTCTTTTCTTAGTTATGAAATCCCACTTGAATTACAAGGTCCCATTTTTGAGTTATAAGATCTCACGTAAATTACAAGATCCACTTTTTGACCACTTTTCACTGTCTAAAGCTTTGAGTTTGATTTTCAGGGAAGGGGCATGGGGGATGGGGTGGGGTAAGGCAACAGAATGTGGATGCCATCCTTTTAAATTTGGACATGGATTTAATTTGTTTGAGAGAATTATAACAGTATTTCGGGTCCGTGGGCATGACAGTATGCCAATGTAGGTAATGCTCAAACACAACATGTAGTCCGTTCTGTAGTTGTCTTCTGTAGGAAAGGAGGGAAATTTATTCTGAGAGGTCTCCCCAACAGAATGGAATGAACCTGTCCGAGACTACCGCCCATTGTCAAGGAGAGAAGTGGTCATCTTAGACTGATGGTCCTCTTTGACTGTGTTATAATATATAGAAAAAAACCGCAAGAGGGGAAGTGTTTGTTTGTCCGGGTGATTGACTTGGAAATGTTATAGCTGTTTCGACTGTTAATTCACACAGGAGCTTACAGACAGCTGGTGCTATAGTTCACCACAGTCAAACTTGTTTCTGTGTTTTTCCGTGAGAAATGATAGACTGCAGTAAATGGAAAAACAGAGTCTGTCTAGTCTTTTATGATGAAAGAGAAATATGTAGCAAGGAAGTATTGTAACACCTGAAGAGACGTTAGATAAGTCAGCAGAGTACAGTTAGTCATTGTTCCTTTTTTTATAACAAATATCTATGGTCCTTGTCCCTCCTTTTCTTCATACATTACCTTCTTGTAACAACTCTAATCTTTGGCATCTATATGGTTTATTTGTTTTCCAAGTACCATAAAACAATTACAATTTAAAAAATTTACTCTATTCTGAGTGCAACTTGCATTTTCTAGTGGCATTGGCTGAGTTGACCACATGCACATTTATTACTGGCAAAATATGGTTGAGGACAGCACTCCTTATTGACCATAGTGAGGAAACGGGTGCTTTCCTTTTACGTATTTCTGCGTTACATTATGCCTGTGGTTTCTGTCTATGCTGAAAGAGGCAGATCATTAGAGTGACTGTACAAACATAAGCCTTCCCTGTGCCACGTTTTGACCTAACGGGAGGAGGTGGTTTGAGGATGCCTCTGGTAGGTCCTTCTTTTTTACTTTCCCCCTGTTTTTTCTGTCTATCTGTCTTACCTTTTCCCAGCACTAAATGCCATTATTGTGTCGATGTACTCTCTTTACTCAAACAAACAAACTTAACAGGACTTTTCTGTTTCCTCCCCTAGCAAAAACCTAGATCTGGAGGGCTGGGGGTACTCCTTTTTCTGAATGGGCAACCTTCCCTCCAACCCCTGAGCATGCATGCACTCCCCGCCTTACAGTAGACCACATCTCCATGCAACTGAAATGGGCAATATTTTTTTTTCTTCCTTTCCAGCTGTCAGAGCGAGGCTTGTGCACAGGCCATGAGCCAGACTCCATGGAGTTCAGTTCCCTGGGTGGCTGGGTGGCCACCAGAGCATCAGGGATGAAGAAGAATATCTATGGGAACATTGAGGACCTGGTGAGAGACTTTGTTGGGTCATACCCACTCTCTGTTGGCGCTTTCGTGCTTTTAATTTCTTTGTTGAGATTTTATTTGTTGTTTGTTGTTGCTTTTCATTTTTGGTGTATATGTGTGTGTGTGTAGTGGAAAGAGGAGGTTCCTGATTGTACATACCCATTTCTGGTCTGTGGTCGTACATGTATAAACATGCGTGTACATGAGTTCCCTTTTGTGTGCTTCTGTTTATTAAAACAAATAAGCCCTTGAGTCCCAATGTTGTTGTTTTTTCCTACATGCTGTATATTTGTTGACAGGTTGTGCACGTTAAGATGGTGACCCCGCGTGGCGTCCTGGAAAAAAGTTGTCAGGTACCCCGCATCTCATCAGGCTTGGATATCCACCATTTCATATTGGGCTCGGAAGGTGTGTTGAGTATCTCTGCCAAAATATGAATTGTTTCATTGTTTAGGTTCTAGCAAGTTTGGGGTGCATCTGTTTTGGCTCCCGATAGAGTGTCTTATTTTGTTTCTCATTTGTTGTTGTTGCATTGCACATCTTTACTATTTCATATTTTATGAAAGTAAAAGTTGTTTCGTCCTGGTAGGACCAGCATCTGTGGTGTAGCTGTTGAGTATTTCACCACCACATGCAGAGGATGTGAGATTGGTTTATGTATTAGGAGTAAGTTTATCATCCCTTGTCTTTCTGCTTAGACGCTGGATCCCCCACAACCAGGCTTTGGCCCTGACACACAGGGTGGAAGCAGCTTGCTTTTTTCATCACTAATGAAACCCTTAAGCCAATTTTCTCTGTATGTTGCTGATAAACCGTCATTGTGTTCTGACCATCCAGATGAATTACCTATATTATAAAAATAAAGAATGGGAAACTGCAAAACACAGATCCTGTTGATTATACTCTCCTTACCTGCTGAGGTTTGAGAGGTTTTCTTTTATCATTTCTGTTGGCCTCTCCTAACAGACCTTCATCGTGATTGTCTTGTTTTCATTTTCAAACACACAAATTGCTGTCTTTTTGGTAATATGCAGTGTTTATGTGTTTTGCCTTTTTCTTTTCTTGGCATCTGTGGTATAGTAATGGTTTAGGCTCTTTGTAGTTGCATTCAGAAGACATGAGTTCGATTCCTTAGTGAGGAAATTTTGAAAAAAATCAATTATCTCTTGTTTGCTGGGATATTGTCTCCTACCCAGCCCAGGGTTGCTCAGATATGATTTGTTCCTGCTCTTTGGAGTATTACTATTGTCCCAATCTAGTTTCGGTGAATTATGAGCAGGATGGTCGGAGGATGTCACTTGTAGGTTCTACTTTTTTTCTTTCCCTCTTTTGTTTCTGCCTGTCTTTTGTCGCATTTTCCCAGCAGTAAATAACCATTGTTGTGTGGACGTATCATTCTTTACTCACACAATTAATGAAATGTTATGGTACTTAATGGCTGTTATCTACTCCCATCCTCCCCTGTCCCCTCCTGCAGGAACTCTGGGAGTGGTGACAGAGGTGACCATGAAAGTGCGACCACTGCCCCAGTGCAAAAAGTATGGCTCCATCGTGTTTCGAGATTTTGCTTGTGGTGTTGGCTGCATGAGGGAAATTGCCCGCCAGGTATGTTTCTTGTCTTCTATTTGCTGTTTTTAGGCATTACTGTTATTTTCTACTTTTTTCTTTTCTTGTGCTGTTCCAGTTTGCCTGTCTTGCTTTTTCCCAACTGTGTATGACTTATTGTGTTGGTGTGCTTCTCTTTACTCTAGATAGATAAACAAACTCTGTCTAACTGATCTATTCGAAGCAAGTATCGTCACTGTTGAAAGCAAGCTGTTTGACCAGTTTTGCTTTGGGCACAAAATTATTTTCTCTCTCGTCTGTGTTATCTTCCTAATGTATGTGTAGGCTATCAGTAATTCTTTTACAAATATGTCTGTCCTGTACATCTTTCTCTGACTGTGTGCAAGTTTTGTCTAGCTTTTTTTTTATATCTAGACTTCCACCTTTCTTGGCTGTTCATGGATCTTTTTACTGACCCTGTAATTTATTGCTGTAGATCATCTGAAATTCACAATTGTTTTCTGAATATACAAGCATACAAGCACTGAGTTAAAGAAAAGTTGGGCCAATTTCACAGTCTAATTTTAAAACTGTTGAAGGTATCCATAAGGAATGCAGGTTATATCATTGCTTTCCAGTAATTAATTTTCCTTATTTTTGAATTAGTGGGAAAAAATGTGTTACTAATTGCTTTGTTTTAGTAGGTTTTACGGCGGTCGCAACTGCATAAGGTCATATGAGCGCCAGAAGATTAGAGGTGTTACAAGAGAAAAACAAACATAAAAAAGAAGAAGGGGAGATAAGGACGATACTTTTTATAGGAAAGAAGAAGCAAACCACACCAGAGCACCCGCCAACCACCCACTACTAATTGTTTAAAGTTACTAAGAATGCAAATGTCTCTAATGATATTGTATGTTGGACCTTTATATTTATGGTGTTTAATCTGTTGTCTTTCCTCCTGTTTTTTGGGGGGGGGTCTTTTTTCTTACAATGGGGCTTAATTGTTTTCAATTGAGACTTCCTGATTTTGTTTGGTAGGACGTTAAAATCATTGCAAATGAAATCCAACCATAAAGTTTATAAATGTAATATATATATATATATTTTTTCTTTTTACAGCGCTGTGCACCAGCCTCAATACGACTCATGGACAATGAGCAGTTTCAGTTTGGTGAGAAACCGATTTTGTTTTTGTCTTGTTCTCATCTCTTTCTAGTTTTGGTCTCATCTCTTTAAAAATGTGTGTCTTTTTGGTTTCTTGTCCTGTCTGTCTTTTGTCTTGTCCTGTTTGTGTGTATTTATTTAAGAATTCCCCCCCCCCCCCCCCCCCACCAGGCAGTGCTACTGACTGAAGTGTCTTTAGGCCATTCCCAAAGTGGGGATATTAACGTGTTCTTATGCACAGTAGAATTGTAAATTGACTGATTTATTAATGTCATGCTCATACTGTGCCCGAACAACATAAAGAGAACTGCTGCTTTTTCTTTCCCCATCCTTACTATTGTCTTTTTTCCTCTACTTCTTTTGTATGTTTGTCACTCTCTTGTGAACTGCTATTCCCGGGGTGCTTTGATAGTCGAAGCAGATTTTGTGCATTTGAGACTAGAGAGGTGAGTAGAGTAAGCCTGATTCCCCGTTTGGACTTCTCTGTTGACATCCACCCCATGGCGCTCATTTGACCTTATGCAGTTACGAGCTGCGTAAAACTCCTACAAAAACAAAGCTCTAATTATAGTGTGAATGATTAAAATTATTATAGTATTTCCTGGAATTCTTGCATGGTTAAAGAGCTCCTGTGGTAGGGATTTTTTTTTTTAATTATTTTTTTTGCCAATTATCTTTCTGTCTGTCTGTCTTCCTTTTTCTCTCAGCGCTGAATGACTGTTATCGTGTCAGGAAACCTGCAACAAAAAAAAGGGGGTGTGACTTTTCTTTATGATTTTTCCACAGGTCATTCCTTGAGGGTGGAGTCCAAGTCCCTGTTGACCAACTTTTTGGATGGGTTGAAGAAGCTTTACGTCACCAAACTGAAAGGTTTTGACCCGATGAAGATGTCAGTGGCTACCCTGCTGTTTGAAGGAACCAAAGAGGTGAGGGAGAGAGAAATGAGAGAAGGGGGAGCAGTGAGTAGAAAAAGACAGAATGGAGAAAGAGAAGGAGGGATTGGAAAATGGAAAGAAAGACAGAGAAGGGGAGGGTGGAAAAATGAGAGAGGAGAGAAAAACAACAAAAAGAAAGAAGAGATGAGCCAGGAGAGAGGAGAGAAAAACGACGAAAGGAAAAAAGAGATGAGCCAGGAGAGAGGAGAGAAAAACGACGAAAGGAAAAAAGAGATGAGCCAGGAGAGAGGAGAGAAAAACGACGAAAGGAAAAAAGAGATGAGCCAGGAGAGAGGAGAGAAAAACGACGAAAGGAAAAAAGAGATGAGCCAGGAGAGAAGAGAGAAAAATAACGAAAGGAAAAAAGAGATGAGCCAAGAGAGAGGGGAAGAGTGGGAGGAAAGGTGGATTGTGCAAGAGATGGAGAGAGATGGATAGCTGTACCTGAGAAATTTTCCAGTATTGATTGCACCAGCTGTTTTTTAAATAACTTCATGACTATAGTCATATTGTTATGCTAATTGCTGGTGGTGATACTTATTGAGTTCCTTTATTTCCATATAGTTGAGAGTATTATATGTAGTGAGAGGGGTGTCACTGTTCTATGTGCTAACAATATGGAAACAAGTGAAAGGATTTCTGTAAAGTTTAATAATTATCTGGTTGTAGACAGATGTGTTTGAGCTGTGATTTTTTTAAAAGGTGATTTTCAGGAAGGGGAGGTGGGGGGGGGGGGGTTGTTTAAGGCGTGTCAGCACATTAAGGGCCTATTTCATCAAGAACAGATTTGTGCTGTAATAATAATAATAATTCGTCTGTCAGTGTCTGACGGTGACCAATGCATCTGCAGAGGAGAATGTTTCTCAAGGGAAATTGAAGAAATAAGGATTAAGAAAAATTGTTGCTTCTGCTATGGCCATTGAGACCAATTCTGGCAGAGAAGAGTTTGCCACACTCTGAGCATTTAAAATCTTCATTTCCAGTTGTGGTAGTAGACAGCTTGCAGGCGACTCTTTTGGTTTTGTGCAATAGAAGCACCGAAAAGAAGTTGATAAGCAACCGGCACAAGAGTGACCTCCTGTGAGGGGATTGGGGTTGAGATAATTATATAAATTTTCTGTATTTTTACTACCATGTTGTCGTCAGCTGGAATACATCTATACATCTCTCGTCATATCTTTCATATTCCTTCTTTTCTACTGCACTTTATTTCTATCCTGGGCCGTATCTATTTCTTTGTGTTTTATTTTTATCCTCTCTCATCTCTCCTTGGTCTCCCTCCTCTCTCACACATCCCCTTTTTTTTTCATTTGTCATTTCTTTACATCTTTTCATATAAGTTTCAATGATAGTTTTAGTCTTTTGTCCCCCCTGATAGGACTCTTGCAGGAATTCAAAACGATTCACGGGCCAACCTGTTCCTTCCAGTATTTACGTTTCAGTCCTCTGAAGGACAATACCGTGAAGGTGGCATGCCATAGGCTCAATGGCTGTTACTAAAATACTGATGGTGTTATGCTCTGACGGTGTGACAGGAAGAAATAGTTGAGTTCCTTTTTTTTGTTCTAAAACGATTGCCAAGGTCGGTCTGCGGGTCTTCAGTAAAATCAGGAGTCAGCATGCACTAGGAATAATTTACGTCTATCGTGGGCTAGATTTTGTGTCTTCTCTCACCATTTTGTTTAGAAAGGCTTTAGAAAGGTGCTGTAAAGCTCTTACTGGAACCCCCCCGAAAAAGTCTCTGTTGTGTCCTCAGCTTGTTCTGGGTCTGGTTTTGTGTGTTTGTACTGGTTTGTTAACTCATGTGGCTTAGAAAGAGATCCTGTTCTGTGTTTTGTAGCATGCCATTTTTACATTTCAGGAAGTTGCAACTCTGGAGAAGAGAGTGTACGAGATTGCAGCAAAGTTTGGGTGAGTGTCGGCTGAAATCTGTTTTGGCTTGTGCTGGAGTAAATGCTGTCTATGTGAATGTAGGTGTTAAATATAGCAGATAAAGCTTATAAGTCTAGGAGCACAATGCTTGTTTCTTATGCTGAAGTACCTGGGTCTATGCCCATAGAATATGACTTAAACAGAAAAAAAAAGATCTTTAGAGTTTGTTTTTTTAAATTAGCTTTTTCACACCCTTAATCTCAGGGAATGGTGTTTGGGGTCTTCTTTAACCCTATCCGTATGCCCTGGGGTCATTTTGTACCTCCTGGGCTGTATACTTAACATTTTAAAATACTTCTAGTACGAAGATCTCTTTGAAACTTTCAGTATTTCTCAAAAAATCGTTTTGACAGAGTGCTATGCAAAACGTACGGATCAGATTAACGAGTAAATTTCCTCTTTGGAAGTGGTGGCTCAGAGTTCCCCACGTCGCATGGATACAGTAGTACTTTACTTTACTTTACTTTTCCGATCCAGCGGCCATTTGGGTTCTAGCCCTTCGGTCTGATGGATACAATAGTAAAACATGACGTACGGATAGGGTTAAATGAGGGCGAAAAACCTAAAGACCTTTGTGACATAGTGTTTTTTAAGACACAGTGGCAGTGGACAGGTGAAGAAAATAAGTGGGCCTGGAAAGTCTGGCTATGCACTCTTTTCTATTAAATCTGTACTCATAAGTGAAGACATTCTAGTTCTTGTAAATAATATGAATAGCTTTATAAATGGTACATAGCTGCCAAAAAAAGGGGGGGTGGAGGAGAGACATTTCAATCTTGTTTGAAAAAAGTAACTATGTATGAAGAGATTAACATCACTGTGGGTCGGAGTGTTATACAAAGCCATGTGGATGGGTGGGGGGGGGGGATATGGCCTTCTTGACTGGTGCCTTAATATTTTGTAGTTTTATACATTTGCAGCAGCCATCTCGATCTGGTTTTTCTGATTTGATTGGAGTTTGACTTTGCTTTATCAGTCGTATTTGTGACAGGTTCTACTGTATTTTTGTTGCTCTGCAGAGGCATTCCTGGTGGCGCAGACAATGGAGAGCGAGGCTATATGCTCACATTTGTCATTGCGTACCTCAGGGTGAGTCATCTGTTTGTTTCTTTATGAAGTTGTGAAAGAGAGAAAGACTCAAGGGATGTGTGAGCAATAGACTGAGTATGAGTGTGTGTGTTTGGGAAAAAGAGAGGGACTGAATGTGTGTGGGTGAGAATGTATGAGTAAGACACTTATTGTTTATACTAGAATGCATGTAAAGGGATGAGTGTTTGTGCTTTTCTGACAGCTGGCTGCCTCAGGGCATTGAAATTTTTTGTTAGGGGAACTCGGATCTATCAGGACCTTCATTTTATGGGATGGTGGTATAATTTGGGGGTTACAATTAATACGTTTTTGCTGTCCTATATGACAATTTAGCAGGTTTTAGGTTGTTGACAGTTAAATGAAATGAACTCTCTGTTCAGAGTATTTGCCCTGTTCTCTCCCTGTGGCCCATGCATGTGGGAGATCTGATGGGATCGGTGTACAGCTCCAGGAGCATGCTCACTTATGTTTAGCCAACCTCTGGCCCAAACTTCAGATCAATTTGACATGAAGCAGCTTGGAAACATTGTAATTGTATCAAAGTTTGAAAATAGTCTTTCCAAATATATCTCCAGCATTTTGTCATTTATCTCCTCCATGTGTTTATATATATATAGGTCTATCTATATCTTGTCTCTTGCCTTGAAGTGTTTCTATCCGATCTTGTCTTACCTTGACATGTTAATGTTGTATCTAATCTCTCCACAATGTGTTTATCGTGTTTCAAAGTGTCCTTTGTGGGGAGAAGTTCAACATCAGTGCCAGCCCATATGCCCAGTTTAATTGTGCAGGTTTTCTTGTGGAGACCTGGTATGTCATGTGGTCAACTGTCAAGCAATGTGAATTGACTAAAGGCATGAGATTGGTGGTCACAGGCATATGTTTTTGAGCAAGACGCCATAACCTGACTTTAAAGACCGGGCACTGCGTAGTGATGACTGGCAGTAATGTGTTTGACAAAAGAGTATGCTGATGTATTGTTTCTTTAGTATGTGTTGTGTGATTTATGTATTTTTCTGTGTTTACAGCACTGTTGAGCAAATACTCAAACAAATCAAACAAGAAGTAAATTTTTCTGTCGGGGTAAAACAAATTTTCTGAATGTGATTTGATGTTTTTGTTTTCTTTTATTGTTTCAGGACATTGCTTTTGAGTACATGGTTGTGGCGGAGTCGTTCGAGACGTCGGTGCCGTGGGACAGGTTTGTTACCTCAGGACTTGCTGGTGCCTCCTCTAATGTGCTCTTGTTCTCTCCGTTTCTGTACTTCTTCTCAGTTTTGCTCTATCAAAATTTGTTTCTGGTGAAATATGACGGGCGGTTGGAGCGCTCCAAATGTTGATCTTACTTCCTTTCCTTTCCCTTATTGTTTGTGCGTATGTGTCTTAACTTTTTTCCTGCGTGGGTGGTTGGCGGGTGCTCTGGTGTGGTTTGCTCCTTCTTTCCTATCAAACAGCTATTGTCCTTATCTCTCCTCCTCCTTTTTTGTGCTTGTTACTTTCTTGTAACACCTCTAATCTTCTACACTTATATGAACTTATTGTGTTGGAAGTGCCGTAAAACTCTTAATAAAACTAAAACTTTTTCCCTACTGTATTTATGACCCTTTTTTTGTTCAGTCAATGTGCCTTTCTCTTACATTAACTGAAGCGAAGTTTAGAACAATTTTGGTAATTATTTTTTTTTTGCCATCACAGTCTTGTAGAAACAAAAGTACTGTAAAACTTAGATGTATGGTTGTCATTATCTTTTAAGTTTACAGTCCCCACCCCCCCTCTTTGAAAATTCAATAAGCAGCAACATCTGCCTTAGAGCAACCAAGGCTTGCTTCCCAAGGGGTTGCTGTTACACGGACACCACTGTATCCCATTTACTCCATGATGGCCTCGGAAGGCAAATTG